CCCCTATCCAGTTCGGACGGACAGAGGTGATTGACAACACGCTGAACCCAGACTTTGTGCGCAAATTCGTCCTGGACTACTTCTTTGAGGAAAAGCAAAACCTGCGCTTTGATGTGTGAGCCCCGCCCAGAATCCTGGGTTGGATCCCCCCCGCCCCCGCCCCCCGACCTGGATCCACACAAAATTCTGGCTCGCTCCTCCCCAGCCCGGCCTCCCAGCCTGGCTCCTCCACCAGGCTGTTTGGTCCCATTCTGAAGGCCTCCACTCTAGTCTTAGCTCTGTCCCCAAGTCTAGCTTGGCCCTGTCTTTAGGTCAGATCCAATCCAGTTCACTCCCCAGACCTAGCTGGGCCCAAAGCTTTGCACCCTAATTTAGCTCAGGCTCCATCAAGGTCCCCGCCCTGGTATGACCCCACCCTCAGCAGGCCCCAGACTTGGCCTCATCCCTGACTTTCTGTGACCCTGACTCCTGCCCTAAAGGAGATCCTGACTGAATTTGGATCCAAGGCCGCCCCTCATTCTACCTACAATCTTAACCAGTATTCAAAACACGACCCCTTTTCCAGGCTGTCTTTCACCAGCCCCACCTTATGCTGGTTCCACTCTCTTCCCAGATACAACATTGACTCCAAAACCAACATCTCCAAACCGGTGAGCGAGCGTCCCCTCGCAGGCTGGCCAGGCACACAGGAGGCGCTCAGTGTGTTAAACAACCTTCCTTAGAACCCTCCTACCCCTCAACCCCAACTCCACCTTCTTGGGCCCCAAACCCACCCTCCTGGCCCTCCTCTCATGCTCCTGCCTCTTGGTTTCCCACCCATGCCTTTTACTCACTGTTCCTCTTCCTTCTCGGCCACCTGTGGGACACACAGAAGGTGAGGCTGAACGGGGCTGGCTTTGGGATGGTGGGGTGTGGAATGGAAGGTGAGGTGTGGGATGGCATTGTGGAGAGCAGCTTAAACTGACAGCAGGACCAAGAAGCAGAATTGGCCTGGGGACTCCTTCCCCTCCTTTAAAGCACAGGCAGGGCGATGCTTCTAGCATTCTGCCATCCTGGAACACACTGGTCTGTGCAGCAGTATCACCAGGGCTAGGCTGGGACTCTGCATCCCCAGCCCCTCCTGGCCTTCTTGACTCCATGTCCTGGTGCAGGATTTCCTGGGACAAGCGTTCCTGGCCCTGGGAGAGGTGATCGGAGGCCAGGGCAGCCGTGTAGAGCGACCCCTCACGTGAGCTGAACAAGAGGGGTGCTGGGGAAGGGTGGGTGCCCCCAAATTTTCCTCCCAAGGACACTGCTGACCCAATAGCTGTGAAGGCTGGGACTCCCCTGGTTGGGAGACTTCAATGGCTCCCATCATCTTCCTGGGAAAGACCAATCTCCAGGGCTCCGTTCAAGTCAGTCTTAGGCCTGATATGTCTTGTCTTGTCCTCTCTCTCTCTCTGTCTCTGTCTCTACCTGTCTGTCTCGGTCTCTCTCACCTCACTCTTTTTCTAAGTCTGATTCTACCCTTAAGGTCCACTTCCAAGCTTTTTCCCTCCGAGAAGCTTCCCCTCACTAAATCAAGACCCCTGGAATTTCCACTGTATTTACTCACTAAATATTTATTAGCATGTTTTGCATGCCATACCCTGTGCTAGGCACCAGGGACTCATCCATTCCATAAATACTATTGGGCATATACTCTATGTCGGCCACTGTTCAAGGGGCTTGGGTTGTAATGGCGAACATAACAAAGGTTCCTGCCCTTGGGGAGCTTATACTATAGAAGGTGGGGGAGAAACTACAAAATAGACATAACAAATAAGTAAATTATATAATATATTGGAAGACATTAAGTGCTATGGGGAAAAGGCAAAGTAGAGCAGAATTAGGAGGATTGGAAATGCTGGGTGGGTGGGACTTGCAATACTCTACAGAGTGGCTGAGTAGGTTTTATGGAGAGGTAACTTTAGAGCAAAGACCTGTAGGAAGTAAGGAAGTGAGCCATGCAGGTATCTGGATGTGGGATGTTCCACGCAGAGGAAGTTGGCCAGTGCAAAAGCCTGATATGTTCACAGAGCAGCAAGGAGGCCAGTGTGGCTATAGCCAAGTGAGCAAGGAGGAAGAAAGGAGGAGACGAGATTGGAGAACAGTTTAGGGCCTTGTAGCTACTATAAAGACTAGCTTTTACTCTGAGTTGGGAGTCACTGGAAGGCTCTGAAGAGAGGAGTGACATGATCTGACCATGTTTTCAAAGAATAATGCTGGCTTCTGGATTGAGAATAAACCTTGGGTAGATGAAGATAGTAGCAGGGATCCCATTGGGAGGCTATTACAGTAATCCAGGGTGGCAGCAGTGAAGGAAAGAAATGGTCAGATCTGGATATAACTTGAAAGTATAGCCAACAGATTCCTGACAGGTTGAATATGGATGTGAGAGGAGAAGAGGAGTCAAGGATGACATCAAACCCTTTGGCCTGAACACCTGGAAGGATGGAGTTGCCATAAATAAGATGGTTAAAAAAAAAAGTGAGGGAGAAGTACATTGCAGGGGGATTTAATCAGGAGTTCATTCTGACTCCTGTTGAATTTGATAATTTTTATTAGACACCCTAGCAGATATGTCAAATAGGCAATAAGATCCATGAGTTGTAGATGCTCTTTCAGACCAGAAGACTAGATGAAATCACCAAAGGGGTGGGCAGAGAAAGAAAAGACCAAACACCAAGACTCCATGAATTGGAACTAGAAAAGGAGACCGAGAAGGAGCATTAATGAAGTAGAAGGAGGACCAAGAGAAGGGGTGTTGTCCTGGAGGCAAAGTGAAGTTTGTGTATTGAGGAGAGAGTGACCAGCCATGTCAAATGCTGCTGCATGTCTGAAGTTCTGAAGGAAGAGGTGGGGGTGACAGCCTGGTTGGAGAGGTTTAGAAGAGAATGGAAGAGAGGAATGAAAGTCAAGAAATCTTCCAAGGGGTTTTGTTGCAAAGAGAAGAGAAAAGGAGGGTTAGGAAAAGGAAGTGAGGTCAGAATAGGTTTGCATTTTTTAACATGAGAAAAATTATACCACATTTGTATGTTAAGGGGAATGACCCAGTAGAAACTGAAAAATTGACATAATAAAGAAAAAAGGAGAGAATTGCTGGAATGATGTCCATGTATAGGCAAGAGGGTGTGGAATGTAGCACACAGTGGAGGGATAAATAGGCACAAGGATAGTCATTTATAGCAACAGTTGCGTGGGTGAAGATACTGGAGGCAAGGTAGGTGTGGTGGTAGGTCTGTGGACATTCTCTTCTGGTTGCTTCAGTTTTGTCAGTGAAGTAGGAAACAAGGTCATTGGCTGAGTGAGGATGGGGGAGGAGGCTTTCCAGGTTTGAGAAGAGAGGAGGAGTGAAACTGCCATCTAGCCGAACTGGAGAGTGAAGTATGATTAAGGACCCTCTTGAGGTTTGTGGTCATGCATTTAAAATGAGACCAGTTAGGGGCGCCTGGCTGGCTCAGTCAGTAGAGCATGTGACTCTTGATCTCAGGGTCATGAGTTTGAGCCCCAGGTTGAGTGTAGAGATGACTTAAATAAATAAGATGTAAAGAAAAAAAAAAGTGAGGCCAGTTAACAAGATTGTGTGTTTTCCTCTGGCCTCATTCAGTTGCACAGGTGCAGTACAGGCTAGGCAGAGAATGGGATTTAACTAGGGCTGTGGTTCTGCCAAATAAGTGTACTGAAGTGACAGAAAGGCAATGGATAAGAGGTAGGATGCAAGGGAGCGATTATTATAATCATTGACTGGAATTCACACTGGGTAAGGAGGTGAGGGAAAACATTAAGGGGGCAAAGAACAGAGAGAAAGCAGTAAGATCAGAGACTTGGTCCTCCTGGGTGTGCAGGTGAAGAGTCCCTATACTCCTTACACTCTTTTTAAAGCACAAAGAGTCAAAAATTGAAAGAGCCAAAGAAATGGTTCAACATTCATGTCAAAGATGGGAAAAATCACATAATAAATTGGAGCCAGGACTTGAACCCAGAACACTTCTGACCTAGCTTTCTCTCTGCCACACTTGGGATCCCTTTGGGGTCAGGGTTCACAGGCCCATATCAGCAAGGTCCCTGACCACTTGGAGACCCAAGGCAAGGCAATTTGGGGATGGGTGTCCTAATATGTACCCTTCAAATACATGGAAGTGTCCCTTCTTGGGTCAGGAGAGGATAAGGCTTCCCTTGTCTTTTTTATTTCACTCTTCACATTTTATTTCACTCTTCAAAAGCACAGCATCTTTGATCTAACAAAACAGCCTTTTGCCCTGGGTCTGGATAGAAAATCCTCTCCCTCATTCAGGACTGCTACATCACATTCTACTTGCCTATTGGCTTTGACATCCCACCTCCCTCTGGAAGCTCACCAAGGGTACAGTCTAACAGAACTGGAGAGTGCCAACTGGCCAATTCATACCTAGCACAGTGCCTGACATATAGTAGATACCAAGGTCTGCTTTGACAAATTTAACCACCTTCATATCAATAAAGCTTCCCAATTGCTTGTCCTTCCATGCACTCATTCAGATCTTTTCACAACCCTGACAGGTAGGCATGATTCCCATTTCATAGTAGAGGAAACTAGGACCCCCAAAAGAGGAAATAACTTACTCAGGACTTTAAATCCTATGTCTTTCCCATGCTACCGTTATAACACGTCCACCTAGGCCAGATTAGCCCCTTCCTTTCAGACTACAGACCCCTTCCCTATCCAAGTCAGGCCCTTCCCCACAAGGAACCACACAGGGCAGAAAGGGATACATATAGGAGACTGTCAGGAAATGGCATATTGAATCCCCTGGCCCACCTAATCCCAGATTAGCTACCCCATTCTTCGTTGCCTACTCTCACTCCCCTGACAAAGAGGCTTTTTCTGCTTCCAGGGGTGTACCAGGCAAGAAGTGTGGGACCATACTGCTGACTGCAGAGGAGCTTAGCAATTGTCGGGTCAGTAAGGGCCATATACTAGACCCACAAGGCTTCCTTCTCTCCTAAACTCCCTTTAGTGGACTGTTTGAGGCTATGAACAATTTGGGTGTCAACAGCCAAATTTCATCCCTAGGACATTGCCACCATGCAACTTTGTGCAAACAAGCTGGACAAGAAGGATTTCTTTGGAAAGTCAGACCCCTTCCTTGTGTTCTATAGGAGCAATGAGGATGGCACGTGAGTTAATGTCTTCTCCAGTGGCACCCACCCCTGCCCTGCTGTGACCATGGGCCCATTAGGGCTCTCAGGCTGGATGTGGGCATCTTAAACTCTACCAGGACCTGACCTCAGAATTCACTCAAGGCAGTACACAATATGTGCTTAACAAGTGGGGAAATCCCAGGAATCTCCAATAGTATGAGGCCCTATCTCTGGGCTCAGTCCTGCCCCAAGGCAGGTTCCAGTCCTCTTGCTCCTCTCCAGGTTCACCATCTGCCACAAGACGGAGGTTGTGAAAAACACACTGAATCCTGTGTGGCAACCCTTCAGCATCCCTGTGCGGGCATTGTGCAATGGAGACTATGACAGGTCTGCTTCAGTGTAAACTAGGGAGTAAGGGAACAAGGGCATGAGAATGGGATTCCTGAGCCCCAGACAATAGTTTTGGAGGATCCTGCCTGGTGAAACAGAGTTTTGGGCATGGAGATAGGTAGATGGGGAAGCAAATGGATGGCCACATAGATGAATAGGAGGGTGGAAGGGTAGATGGGTAGATGAAAGGGCAAATGAACAAATGAATAAACAGATACATGGGTGGAGGGTCAGATGGATGGATAAGCTGGTGAATGAATGGATGGGTATATGGATGGATGTGTAAAAGGACTGGTGGGTAGAAGGGGAGATGGATGAATGGGTAACAGATAAGTGGATAAGTGGACTGATGGGCAGATCAGCAGATGGACAAATGATGGATAGATTAATGGATGAACGAATAGATGGATGGGTATATGAGAGATTGTTAGATGGCTGGAGAGGCAGAGGGATGACTGAAAAAGCAGGAGGATAAATAGGTAGAGCAAAAGGTGGATTGGTCAATGGATGGTAGATGGATGGAAGGACCAGTAGATTAATTAGTTGATTAATGAGTGTAAAGTAGATGGATAGGCTGACCATATGAACTAATAAATGGACAGTATGAAGATAGGTAAGTGGGTGGAAGGATGGATGGGCACATACATGGTTGGTTATGTAGGTGAATGGATGATCATATGGACAAATGTGATAGATGGGTGTTTGGTTAGATAGCTGAATGGACAGAGAGATGGATGCTTGCATACATCAGTAAGTCAGTGTATGCCTGGATGTATAATTAGATGGGTGGATAAAGATAGGTATTAAAAAGTAATTAGATTGGCTAATGTATGGGTAAGTGGGTGGCTACGTGGATAGATAGTTGTAACTGCAACACAGATATATGGACATATAGGAGGACTTAGGCACAGTACTTAAGAACAAAGTCTTTGGAACCAGGATGTCTGAGTTTATTTTTTTTTAAAGATTTTATTTATTTATTTGAGAGAGAGAATGAGATAGAGAGAGCATGAG